TTAGGCAGATATCAAAGACATTTTAAACTTTACTTTCACTTTGATAACCAGGTTTCTGCTTTATCTTTATCTGCTAGACCTCTCTGTGTCTGGATAGGGGGCGGATTCAGACCTGAGTGCAAGTCAGTCCAGGTCCAGCCACCACCACAAAGAATGCAACAATACAATGCACTGAATTACATACAATTATACAGGTGTACCTAATAAAGTGGCTGGTGAGTGTACACTGCTTGTAAGTTGTAAGCAAGTTTAATAAAAGTAATTTGCTTATCATTAATTGCTCCGGACCTTTGACCTGAATTAGAAATGAGATTCACAACTTTCAATATTAAGTTTGAGATCCCCTGTTCTAGAGATTACTGCGTTTATGTGTAGATTTTGTTATGTGTCCATGTGTGTGTTCAGTAAAGTCAAAGGTCAGCCTATCAGGTGGAACCAGCAGTGTGGCCAGTGGTTCTGAATAAAGAGCAACTGAGTGGTCAAATAGGTGACCTCCGGGCACCTTCACCTGGGTACAGGGCCACCAGCTGGCACCCTTTGGCCCCGAGGTGAGATTAGCCTGGTGGGGCTGATAAAGCCGCACGTTCTCCTGTTAAACCAACAGTCACTGGGATTAGGCTCCTGCAGAGAAATGGTTTCCTACACAAAGCAGATGGGGAGTGCTGCAAGGGCCATTTACTCAAAGGCTCTTCTTGTTGTTGGATGTCTGTAGCCTTGAGCAAAAACATACCAATTTGGGTTTGCTGCAGTCATCACTGTCAAGCAGTAGATTTAGTTTTCCCACAAAAGCAGCTGCAGTAGTCATTGACTGGCCATGTGTGCAACCAGCACATAATTTGGCTTTGCCACAAATGTGTCTTTCACAACCTTTAGACAATGCCATGACATATGTGAAAATGGCCATGCTTTATGAGGTGTTGAATAGAAAACTCATAAACAGAGGAAGACTGTCTGCCTACATATCCAAACCTCTCCTGGAATCAGTTTTTCATCCATTTATCCATCTCCCAGTTTGGGAGTAATTAGAGAACAAGTCAAGAGTCAAAGTACTGGGCAAATTTACCAGCTAATGACACTAGATTAAAGGTCAGAGGTCACCAATTTGAAAATTTATCCAACTGGCACCTTGAATGAGAAAATATTTTGTTAACTCACCAAAGTCATTAGAATTCATCCTCTGGGAAACATGAATATCTGTAGAACATTTCACTTTGTAGCTGTTGAAGCTATTTCAGTCTAGACAAAAATTTCGGGCCAAGAGGAGACAAGAAATTGAGTAAACCTGTAGTGAAAATATTAAAGAGGGTATTGCGGAGGCTGTCTTTTATTTCTCTGAGTTCCCCTTGCAAAACAGAAGAAATCTCCTCTGCTTTTTTGACATCTGTTGGGCATATTTTTTTTATCATCCTCTACTGTTCTTTTCAGTACTGTTGCCAATTACTTGTGAAATTCTCAGCTGTCGACATTCTCAGTTTTGTCTCTTATGCTGTCACACATCAATCTTCACTCCTTTCCCCTTTATCTCCCACTTCTGTCTTCCGTTGTCGCATTGACTCAGAGCTCTGTTTTCCAGTGTTTGTTTTGTTCCCCGATTCTCATTCATCTCCCATTCATTTCCATTACTCACAGGAGACTCTAGTAGAAAACAAATTGCCTCTAGGCCAGGTTGCAACCAGGAGAAGGTGCTTCTCCCATAAGTGCTTTTTCATGTTGTCAGGTGTTTGTTTGCAATAGTTAACTGCCTCAGGAGTCTGCAGAACCGAACCTGTGTTTGACAGCTAGGGACACAGACAGCATGTGACTATGAAGTGAGAGATTTCAAGCACAGCTAAATTAAGACATTCTGTCATGCTACCAGGATTTGAACTATTTTCTAAAAACATAGGCTATTTATTTTGGCCCTTTATGGGTATCACGTATGGATGCGCATATGTGTTGTCCATCAGAAATTCTCAGAAGGAATACCTCACAGACCAGACACAAGGTCAACTCCATGCTGGAAGCCTCTCGATCAATATGCTCAGACGTTTGAGAGACTCTGCCCGGCTATTTTACCACTGAAGCTTTCAGCTCTCGTAGTTTTCCTCTCTCTGTTTTTTTTTTCAGATATCCCACACACATCACAGCAACGCTCTGTTTTCCCCTTAAATCGTCCTTCACCATAACAAAAATGCCAAACAAACACCTGGAGAGTTAAGAAAAGAAAACTCTTGACTCAAAATTGGTTGAAGCAGCTGGGTATTAATGCTGAAGCATTGGGATTAAGGGCTATAATACTGTGTAGACCTAAGGATGTACTTAAGAAAGACAACAAAAGACAGAGTAATCATAATGTCACTGTGAAAGGTTGCAGCCCATTGTGATTGGCTTATAGGATGGCCCAGGAGGGGTTTTATCTTTTGAATCAGGAAATTGAATTATGAAACAAAGTGACCCAGTGATAAAGGACAGTATGGAGCTATAGAGGTTAAGCCAGTTTTAAGGGCTAGCACTTCATCTCAAGGTTTCTTAATTAAATTGGTTGACAAAAGCATTGAAGCTTGAAGTGCTGTGTGTGTTTGTGTGTGGGTGTGTGAGTGAAAAGAGGCTATGAAGTGGTGGGATTGTTATCTCTTGACTTGGTCTTCATTTAACCTCCTTGTTTTGTAGCTATAGGAGTGAGAGCATTCGATGAATTGAGACTTGAGTTGTCACAGCCAAGACAAGTTTCAGGTTTTGCTAAAGAATCGCACAAATCCCAAAGCTTTTTCTACATTTCATTGAATTGTGTGTCTAAAGTGACCCTGTTATCAGGTAAGAACATCAGTAGTGGATGATTCTGGATTTACACTGAATGCCAGTGTTTCAAATTCTTGCTTTCTTCTGTATCTGTTTATGGCAAGTAAGTGGTCTACAAAAGGATTGTGGTTATAGCTGGTTAACTGTGGTTGAGGTATTGAGTTTCAAGTCCTTTTCCAATCAGAGTTCTTTGATATGGGATATCTGGCAAGCTCTAATCGTTTCCTACAAAATACTACCGGAGCACACTCAAGCTGAAAACCTAAAAATATATGTGAAATACAATAAAATGTAGTAGAACAAATAATCCCAAAACACATTTTTGAGTGCAGATTTTGGTAGCACTGAAGAGAGAGACAACATTCCAGCTGAATCACAGCCACCACCTGAACTTTCAGCATCACTTGGCTTACTTTGGTTAGCCATTTTGTTAACTTTGGTTAGCCGAGTCCAGCAGACGACCGCTGTTTCCTTTCCTTATCACCTGCACTCTCAGACTTTCCCCGTGTGGCTTTTATCCTCTCACTTTGTCTTTTTCTGTCCTCCTTGTTCTTTGCTGTCATTACTGCATTTTCTTTGTCATGGTTTTTCATCAGTACACTTTCTTTTTGTTAGCATGGCTGAGACGGCAATGCCACTAAGTAGGTTGGTCCACTATTTAGGTCCAGACTGAAATATCTCAACAACTCGTAAATGGATTAACATGAAATTTTGTACAAATATTTGTGTTCCCCATATGATCAGCCCTAATGAGTCTGATAATTTCTTGACTTTTCTTGTAGCATCACAATGAGCTTGACCTTTGTGGTACAAAATGAACTCTTGACAACTATTGGATGAAGTACAGTGATAATTTCTACAGTTATTCAAGATACTTTGAGGATAATTAATGATATGTTTGGAGACCCTGGAACCAGCAGGCCAAAGTTTTTTATATATTCCCTGAAATAACCTTTTTTTTTTTACATCCAACAACCATGTCATGTTGTCATAAGTCAAAATTAAAAAAAAATGTTTTACTTCTGGGCAAATTTATCAAACTCAGTTTTGCTAATCTTCCCCTCTAAGCTTGCCAAGAATCTGCAGAAGAGGCATATTTTCCCCAAGAGGCCGATAAACATCTCCTGCTGCAAACTTCAGAGGTTTCAATGTATGCATGCCTTGTGCTGGTGATTTCTCAGGAAATGTGTAAAATGGCATGTGGCTCAAAATTTGTCTGAGATCCATTTCTGAAACTGCCCTTTCTTCCCCCACCTCTCCCGGGCCCTTATCAAAGATTCAGGACAATCAGCGGTTTATCGCTGCTGGAAACGAGTGCAGGAAGCAGATGTTGTTCTGATTAAACACACACACATGCACTGCACCAAATGAGAGGTGCTTGTTGCTGCCTCAAGGCCTGAGAGGAGTTGAGGGCCAAGTCTTAGAATCTAGAGTCATGATATCTCCTGAACATGTGCCGCAGAGGGGGACAAACTGCCAACAGAGTGGCCATTTTTTATTGTATGTGTGTGTGTGTGTGTGTGTGTGTGTGTGTGTGTGTGTGTGTGTGTGTGTGTGTAGAGCAACAATGAAAAATAGAAAACAAGAACAGGTTCTTCTATTATGTAGTCTCCATTATATGCATTCATATAATGTAGTAATCAATGTATGACAGTTAATCAGCTCTCTCCTACAGACATACTGGCTGCAGTAACTGATGAAAATACTAATGGTCTTTGCATCAGACACTGCAGTATCCCTGTGTGTACGAATGAGAAGCAGGGAGATTGTCATATGGTTTCTACTTTAATAAGAATGCACTTTGGCACCCCTTTATTTTCTTCACTTTAGGCTATTATTTTACAAACTAGATATAAAAGGACATAAATAAATGACATAAGTTACATGTACCTAGAGCTCCTTGAAAAAAAAAATCATGATCATGTCAAAAAAAGTACAAAAAAAGACAGAGAATGTTAGATCTACATGGCTAGATCATATGGCATCGGAAGGCATACAATGACAAACATTAACTCTTACATTTTGTTAATTTTTTTTTCTTTTTTGTTTTTTCAAATCATCCGACATTTAAGTAAAGGATAAAAGTTTTTACAGTACATTCTGGTTTTCTTCCCCTTCCCAACATGTCTTGCATATGTCCAAACAGGTCCACTTTTGATAGATAAAAGCAAAAAAAAAAAAACATTGCCAAAAAAAAGGAAAGAACTAAAAAAAAATGGTAAGGACAGAGGTGTTTTGTATTATGAAGCCTCAAAAACTCTCACATAAGTATAGTTTAAAGAGATAAAGGAACAAAAGAAATATAGTCCATTGGGTTGAACCTGTAGCTGTATGTTGTGCTTTGGAAAAAAAAAATTAAAAATAGTTTTCCCTTCTTAAACACCTTTTCCTCTTCTGATCCTCTGTTGTGATGATTTTAACCTGCTCCCATTTTTATTTTCAGAGAGATTGTTCCCACATTTCTTCCTTGACTTGTCATAAACACAGGGAGTCCCAACTCCAGTATGTGTTTGACGTATTCGCACGGACAGGAGGCTTCTGATCACTCATGTCTGTGTCTCCGTATGTCCGTTTGCAAGCTGCTGTATCTGCCAGAACAAAAATATGTTGCATTCCATATAGCTGTTAAATAAATGCTGTTTCTGAGTAGAGTTTGCACAATGGGAGCAACACATCTTACATAGCTTTTTTTTTAGCTGATTAAAAAAAAAAAAAAAAAAAAAAAAGTCCAGCGTTTTTCTTTTTATATGAAAAACTGTTATCTCGTCTTCTCCACAGTGGCATGAAAAAAGACACAATTATTGATAGTACTTCAAAGACAATGTCATTCATACAGCTAGACACATACACACACACAACCATGCACACACGTCATTACACGCTTGTTATGTTACATGCAAACAAAACAAACCAATAAAAAAACAAACAAAAATAAATCACAAAATAAAATGAAACTTTGAAAAAAGTACAATACCTCTAGAACAGGGCTTCTCGATTATATTACATTCTTCTTATTGTCTCTTTTTATGCTGTTTAATCATTCATAGTAATTCCAGTACATTGCTTGATGGTCACAAACACACTGTGGCTAGTTTGTCAAGTTGACTTATTGTGGTGGTGGACATCCCAGACGCTTGGGAATGGATTTTTCATCTCACTGTTGGAGGAGACTCCATGGACAGGAGGGGGAAGCAGAAGTAGGAAGACGAAGAGGAGGAGGAAGAGGAAGAATTCTGGTCATGGATAGCAAGGCCAGAATCCTCTTTATGATGGACAGCAGCAGCTGGGGTAAAAGAAAGGAGGGGGGAGGAATAGAGAGGTTGCATAAGTCATGGAGGTTTTGAATGTAAACAATTTCTGCTTGAGATCCAGTCCTGACCAACAACCCCGCTCTCCAGCTTTAGCTCATCCACTAAACAAAACTGAGTGCCAAAGCCACATCATTCAGAGTGCAAATAGCCGCTCAAAAGGGGGGAAATATAGATTTTGTAGCAATTATGTATTTACCTTGTGTGCGCCACATGCTGTTGTGTGTACATAATATGAGAAACATGCCCTTGACTTGCTTGCACACATCAAAAACCCACCAATCGGCATTTAATGAGTGTTAGTATTAGACAAACCCTCAGTGCTATTGCACTGTGCTTTCTTCTAATGCCAACAGAAGGAAACCTATTGTAAAGTCTTCAACATTCCTCAAGCAGGAGATATTATAACCCATTAACGTCCAGTAATTGTTATAGGCATTGCTTTAAAAAAATAACACAAAAGCCTGAAGAAAATGATTTTATACTAATTATACATACATACATACATATATCAGCCTCTGCTTTAAAATTCTTCTATGCACTTTTTAATATTTGGTTAACACTACACAGTATAATTAAATCGATATAAATACAGAGGAGAAAATATTAGAAACAGCCCTCTAATGAAATACAGTTTAACAGCATGTTTGTTCATTAATTAATCACTAAACCAAAATAATGATGAAAATTTCATCATCATTAATTATTTCATTTTTTTGAAATGCCAACAAGTCTCTGGTTCTCTGGATATATAGAAAATTTAATTTTGGGGGATTTGAAGTGTTGTTTGGTTAAAGAAAACTATTTTTTTTCACTATTTTATAGACAAAACAATACATTGACAAAATGATTGTCAGATTAATCATAAATAAAATAATTATGAAGTGCAGCCTGTAAATCCACTGTAAAATTGAATCAGCACCTCTCCAAATCGCTTATAATTAAATCTTAAAATGTTAATGGATAGCTGTTGTGTTAGACTGCATTAGTTTTATCTACTATTACATTGTTTAATTACATGGCAACAGAGTGTATAAAACAAATTAAATAAATCAATGCCATCGCTTAAACTATGTAAGTGACTAAGTCTTGAACTTGCTGAGAAAATAAAAAATATGGGGCGTGTGTTAAAACACAAATGATCATAGAAAATCAAAATATGGAAATTTGATCTAGAGTTAACCAAAAAGAAGGATCAGTCAGCAGTAGCTACTAAAATGAATCAAGGCCCTTTTGTTAAGGCCTAGTGTAAAGTTACACCCAAGAGCACCTCCTAATATTTCCTGGAAAGTGTTTTCTGAGCTCTGGTGGGCTCTGGTGTCTGGCTGACTGGGAGTCAGCAGCTGATTAATTCTTCTCATTAACACACCAGCAGCATCAGGCCAGCAGACTGATCACAGACCAGTGGCTATTGATCTGCTCTGGCTGCCTGAGGTCGTGCAATCCAGTTGTTAATTAACACAGTTTCTGGAGCTGAGGGCCCAGTGATGGGAGAGGAAGGGGGACCATCTAATGAATCTTACAGACTTTTATTGGCCTGATATTAATAGCATACTGCAATAATAAAGGGAGCTATAATCAATTACATTTATTTGTTTTGTAACAAAAAATGAAATAGTCTTGAATCTTACCTTAATGACATTTTAAATAATCCTCAGCGCATTTCCTTGTTTATTTTCTTGGCAATGATGATGCTGATGATTCTGATTCATTCTGCGTCCACAATCCTTTGCTCCACCCTTTTGTCCTCATAGGGATATGAATGGAAGAATCCAAATTGTGTGTTTATCTGAAGTGAGGCAGAGCATTTTGGGAAGAAAGGGGAGTGGGAAGGCTCCTATGGAAGATCAAAGACATTCTCGGCAACATCCTGAGGGCAACAAAATACAGCGTTCTGGGAGAAGAACAAGAACAGAACAGAGCCAAATACAACAAGAAGCTCCTCAAAAAAAAAAAGTCCTCCTGCACCGCCATCTCCCCTTGAAATCCAACCCTCAACCTCTCAGATTCACTGTTTATATCTGATAGTCAGGGTCCTCCATTTTGTCTGTGACATATCAAACAGATCCAGCTGAGAGAGAGAACAATGGTGGCCATGGTAGCCTGTGAGTCTCACAGAAACAATTCATGTACAATAAACAGTCAAAATTTAAAAAAAAAAATCTGATCCGTGGGTTATTCCAGAAAGAAAGGTCCAGAAACAACACTCTGCCCCAAGAGAAGGAAGAAAGGTATGATTCCCCTCTCCCTCATTTTCCTTCCTGGCCATTAAAAGCACTCCAGATTGGCCCCTTGGAAATACTTTTCCAGCCATCCCTCCATCTATCCCAACATGCTGTAGACACATAGAAGCATCCCATTCTCCAACACAACAAAAAAAGGGCAAAGGTCAGATTTTTTTTTTAAAAAGTGCCATTTTCACCACTTTTTTCTTCTTCATCAACATCTTCTTTTTAGATCCAATTTAAAGTGCATGAATGAGGTAACATAGTTTGTCTTTTTTTTATATTTAACATTTTTTGTTTATTTATTTATTTTCATATGAAACAAAGTCGCTTTGCTTCCGTTTCCGTTATCTTAGTTTAAACCTCTCAAACGGGAACCATTCTGCCTTGCATTTGTTGCATTTGGGACAGCATTCCCTGGACGCTGGTCAGGATCTTGTTCTGGTGCGCTGCAGAGGAAATACCTATGCGAGCCATGTCCCTGAAAAAGAAAAACAGGGAAAGGGGTGTTTTTAGGACCAAGGACAACAATAACAAACATATGGAGACCTGATCAACATGATGAATTTTACAGGCTTTCTGTGGAAACTGCCCTGATAGTTTAACTACAGTTTAGGGAATTTCACTTGCCAACACAACAATCCTAATCACGTCATAGGTGAAAAATTTAGATTTTACAGACAACGAACAAAGAGTAAAAAACATTTGACTTTGCAAAAAAATGCCATGGATTCCATGCTAATTTTAAAGGAATAGTTTAGCTATAGTTTGGACATTTTGGATAATACATTTATATATTTATTTGCTTTCTTGTATATCAAATATGAAGCTAAAACCAAAAAGCAAACAAGTTAGCTTAACTAAAGACTTGGAGCAAGGAGGAAGTGTAGCTGGAATTACAGCTACACACTGGAACTAGTTCTAGCACTTAACTCGCCTAAAACTACAACTTGTAAATTTTACATCCCTGTTTGTGCATAAATTATGCAATTAGGAAATAAGTTAATGAGTAGAATTTATAGATGGACCTCCACAGTCAATCTTCTAATTCAACTTTGGGCAAGACATTAACCATATATCAAACACTGTTTAAGAATAAACCTGGGTGGTTTTTTAAAATGTCATCTTTATTGCTAAACAGGTTGTAAAACTAATGAGTCATATTCTTCTTAAACTTAGTAATTAATTCAGGCTATAAACTGTGACACACATGAACATATATTCATAAATATTCTGGAATAATTGTTCATTTTCTCAAAAGTAGTGTAGTGATCTGACTCATGTTTTTTAGTGACACTTCTAAAACTGTTAAGTGTTGTCATCACACACAGAATTCAGTTACTATAAAAATGTTTTTTGCCTTCTTTTCTTTTTTCTATTTGCTCTTTCACTTCCTCTCTCATATTCTGTCCTTTCTACTCACTCTTGTGTCATGTGGACCACGGCTTCTGGAGTGGTGTAGCCGGCGGCAGTGAAGTTGTCACTGTATTTCTCCATGCCAATGGCCTGTAGCCAGTCTTCCACCGTACCCACACCCGAGGACGCCTCAGGGCTTCCTGGCTCCAACAGGGTGGTGTTGGGTCTATTGTGGGTGGACGAAAGACGAAAAATGTGAAAGAATGGAGAATTAAACTAATGAACTTAGGCTCTACAGACGCTGTATCAGGTTTCACTTTGGTTCTATAATTACAATCAGCACCTGAAGCAGCCGCATTCTGTATGCCAAAGCCATGACGTGTGCAACAATTTGTGCAAACGGACAATAAATGTTGCATTCTGGTCAAGTGCTTTTCACTTAAAAGTTAATGATTTGTTTTCTTATGCAGTCTGGCATGCCACTGTTTCTTAATAAAGACAGCAACACGGGCATCACGGGAATTTGTTTTCTTATTCCCGAAAACAATGCTGTACAGTAGAAACAGGAGGCCATGACACATATGCATCATGCGATGACAGGTACCCACAAACTGTAAAACACACACTGCTACATTTCTCTCTGGCTTTCCCTCCTTGATGGGATCAGCAGGTCTGTCAGGTTGAACTCTGTACAGTGTCCCTGTTTTGTGGGTCCTACCAGAAACCAAGCCAAATCAAACATTGTTCCTCCTGGGTGTGACCGACACAGTGAGTTAAATCTCATTTTACAGAAGCGCACCACCCGGGCACACTTCGGTGAATTTCCTACTCAGAGATGTTCCCCCTCACATTCAGATATTCACCAGCAGATTTACCTTCCTCCTTTATTTCTATCCTCCCTTTCTGTTGAGCGTGTTAGCAGTGGTGTCAACCATGAAAGATTTACAAGGGTCCAGTGGGTCTGAGTCAGTGGCGGCCTCGTCCCACTCTGGTGACTTCCTCACCCTCACACATTCTTTATTTCACTTTATTATTCTGTCTTTTTTTAAAACAAGGATGTTGTGTTGAAGTGTGAGAACAGGATTTCAGACACCTTAATAAGTCATCTCTACTCAGTAGGTAGAAAGGACTATGCACAGGGATCTTTTTTCTCTCACACAGACACAAGCTCTACTTTCTGCTTCCCTCTTGTAACTGTAAAAGCAGCATTTATAGGATTCAGTTCTGCTAATTGCTCCACAAGGGCTCCCCTCTCACTCTCGTTGTGTCCCATTAGGTGTGCATGTGCATCCACACTTGCGTAGGTTCACACACTCGTTAAACTCAAACAGACTCCTACTGGGGTGCGCCAAATCTGTAAACACACATAGGTCATTCTTAACACGTTTAGCCGCTGGAGAGTAATGGTGTCGGAGCTGAAGCTTTGTGTTTGTTTTTAAATCAGCATTACATCGTAATTCTCCCCCCTGGCCAGAGTGGCTACATTCCTGAGTATACAGCACCATTAAAGCTAGTTTGCAGAGAAATCCATTATGGAGGGATTGGGTTTGTGCTGAAAAGAGCCACACGTTGCTGGTAGATAATGTTTAATGGTGAATGTAAACACCGGAGAGAGAACAGCAGTGTGTGTGTGTGTGTGTGTGTGTGTGTTTAGATGTGACAGTGGAGCCATATTACTCCTTTCTAGTTTATAAGTTATCATTTTTAGCCTAGTTTGAATATAAATTTGATCAAAAACATACCTATTTATACAAAAATTATGAAGTGAACTTATAAATACAGTTGTCTTACAGCTGTATAATGTAATCCCCCTCTAAACAAAGTGATATTACCAGATATTGTTGGTAAAATTCAACAGAATTCTTTGAAACAGGTATCACATGTCCAAACTTTTTCCGTCTAGTACTGCCATTCAAAACCTTATGATTATTATGAAAGAAACTGTTTTTTTTTCTTCTTCTTTTAATTTTAGACAAATAAGGGGGTTAAATTATCTAGTTATTTACTTTGGCAAAGATTAGAAGTTGAGTAAGTTTGAAAAATTAAATATAACTTTGAGTAACAGAAATAGGTTTTTTGTTATTTTCTAATATTCCTCATTATCATTCGGTGGGGATGACTATGATTTTGGGACCTAGATTGCCCTTCCTAAAATTTGTGATTCTATAACTAGTAAAAGTGCTTTTGTGTGTCTGTTTGGGTGTTCAGAAAATCTGAGCATCTGTGTGAAATGACTCTTATTAACATTCTTGGTGCAAAAAAAAAAATTTAATGTCCCCTGAAATTTTTCGCTTCGTGATATCATAAACCTCTACAATTGTGTGATGTTTGCCCAGGGGCCCATCAGCTCATGATGCGTCCGGGTACATGTATAACAAAAAATATGTCTTCTTATTTTGAGCTACAGTTCATATTACAGTATCTGCCTGTGACCAGCCCTCTCACCTGACAGTGGTCTCTCCCCCAGTCCTTTTCAGAGTGTTGGGATTGCGGATCAGTTTGTCCAGCATGTTGACAATCTGTCCAAACTTTGGGCGGTCGGCTCTCTCTCTCTGCCAACAGTCCAGCATGAGCTGGTGGAGCGCCACGGGGCAGTCCATGGGTGGTGGCAGCCGATAGCCCTCATCAATAGCCTTGATCACCTGGACAGTAGATTAGTACTGCTGAAAATCATTTTGTTTCAGAGATAGTCAAATTGTAATGAAAACTGTAGTCAATTTTACTAAAGCTATGTCATTGTCCCTCTAACTTTAAACATTATTTTTAATCACCTTGCTTTAGTCACATTTACAAGACATTTGGTTATGAATAAGTGAAATTCCTTATTACTTATTAGTGGCACTATAAATATAAATGCAATGTGTAATGACAACAAGGTATACACTGTTGGTGTTTCATCACCTTGCAGGTAATTTGATTATGAAACCAAAGTTAAAATGATGAACAAAAATGAGAATTATTGTTCCTGCTCTAACATCACACATTAATTCAGGCTGTATATTATTTATTCTGCCTATGATTAAATTTCCTCAGACTTACATCTTGGTTACTCATGTCCCAATATGGTCGCTCGCCATATGACATCACCTCCCACATGACAATTCCGTAGCTCCACACGTCGCTGGCCGAGGTGAATTTTCTGTAAGCGATGGCCTCTGGAGCCGTCCAGCGGATGGGGATCTTCCCTCCCTGTAAATGAAAGACAGGCAGATTAATGAAAGCTGACAAGTAAGATGACACAGACAGGCTGCTGACTCAGCCAGACATATGTTCGCCTACACACACACTCACCCTGGTGGTGTACGCAGCTTCCGGGTCATCCTCCAGCACTCGAGACATGCCAAAGTCAGACACCTTGCATACCAGGTTGCTATTGACCAGGATGTTGCGAGCTGCCAGGTCACGGTGGACGTAACTCATGTCTGACAGGTACTTCATGCCCGACGCGATGCCACGCAGGATGCCGACCAGCTGGATCACCGTGAAGCGACCGTCATTCTTCTGTAGAAAAGCAGGCATCTTCAGTGTTTGGGGAAGATTCAATTGCAAATATTTCACGTTTGTCACAGTGTCAATAATGATTTTTACTGTTAGGGTTGCCCAGTACAATTTAGTTCAATTCAATTAATTCAGCTTTACACATGTAACCTCTGTCCTGCAGCTGCAGCTATTAATGTGTGTGTTTTTGAATAAGACAGTTTTGTCTTAACCTTGAAACAAGCAATTTGGCTTAAAAAAAAAAACTGAACAGAAGGTCTTCTTGCTAGCATTTTTGGACCTTTCACCTGCATCCCAGGGTCTTCCCGACCAGGTGGTTTCTGTGGTCAGTGATCTCCCACAGGTACTGTATGTACAATATTTAAGCTCCATACATGGGTCACTTGGTGAGAAGTAAGCTATACCTATCTCCTGAGGAGCAATTTAAGATGCCAACAAAGTCAACATTGAGTTTCTTTTAAATTTTTGAACATGGTGCTTGCGTTTTCATATGCATATTGTGACTTGGTTATAAATGATTGCACATTTAACTGAGAAAAAGTTGAGTTTTAGATAGTCATAATAGAATTAAATATAAAACATTTAATCTTTATATTTATCTTGCACTGCAGGTACATCATATGTAGAAGTGCTTGTAAAAATCCATTTAAAAAACTCAAAAGCTTAAAACTGTGTTATCATTGTACAAAAAGTAATTTGTGCAAAATGACTGATGCCAAGTCAACACAACTTAACTGTTTTTATTTGTCTTACATAAGATTATGCACTATATACTGGATAAAGGTATTAACTACAATGTAAAATGCAGCGAACCCTGGAAACACAGAGGTGAAATCTGCACCACCCTCCTTGTCAGAAAACAATAAGTTGATCAAGAAGGTCGACTAAAATTAGGATATTTGTGAACAAACATTTATAATGTTGATGGATTACATTACAGAGATAAGAAGAGATCGGCAAACTACAGTCATCTCGCACAACCACATGCACATGCGCACAGACATAAACACATGACTGACCCTCAGGAATGCATCCAGTGATCCGTTTTCCATGTACTCTGTGATAATCATCACTGGCTTACCTAGAGAGAGAGAGAGAGTGAGAGAATGAAAGGCAGCTGATTATGGTGGTAAACGATGCGCATCATAGCCTGACAAGGTGGGGGGGGGGCTGCTTGAGGGAATGTATCAGTGTATATGTTGTGTGTGTGTATTAGAACATCCATCTCTGTCCTGTAGTGATTTAATTAGCCCAGTGTTATGTTGCCTTGACATCCCCCTTCTTTCCCTGCACATGTGTCTCCACTGAAACAAAAAACCAGTGCACACACTCACACACAGATACACACACCATCTTGGGTCTATGCAAATATGAAGTGATGCATTATCCAAAGTCCCATCACAGTCACCCACCCAGTCCCTCTGACCCGCTATTTATGTCACTCACTGTCCCTTTGCCCTCTTTCTCCTCTGCCAACTTTAGATGCATCTGTCACTCTCCTGCTAGCTCCTCACTATTACTTTCTTTTTTCTTCCCTCACTCCTACTGTCTCTCATCCACCCAACCAATCTCAGCCACTCCTCTCTGGCCTTTTTCACCCCATCCCTCTGCCTTCCTCTCTCTGTCTCTCTTGGGGGAGCCCCTGTGTCTTTATCTGAGCTGGGGCAGGCGGAGGAGAGGGTGGACATTCCCTGGTGGGTCTATGTCTGTCTTTGGTGGTGAGGGAGGACAATGGGCATGAGTAGAGAGGGAGAGAGAAAGAGAATGAGGAAATAAGGAATGGAAGGGAGGGTGGCTTGTTTTTGTCCAAAAACGGCGACAAGCTGGTGCCTAACCAGCCATGGCAACAACACATGCCGAAAAGAGGTGCCACAAATTTCTCCTAGGATTGCACTGCTGACTTAAAGCTAATGCTTTGAGGGGAGGTTACATGAAATCTCTAGTCTGCTCCAGCAGAAGCAGCACAAAGTCAGCTGAGCAGTTGGCAGCTGAGATCTTAAAGGTGAAGTTCCTCCACTCCACAGCAGGCCTCTTGCCATGAGAAGCCGTTAGTCACCACTTTACCCACCGTGTGATTGGCACTCATTAATTATGGGGCGATGCCCCAAAAACAGGAAGTGGAGTTAAAGTTGGGGGAGGCTGGGGGCCCTCTTTGTCAGCCATCTTTGTTCCTTTTGTTGTGTGCCTCTGCCCCAGGGCTGCCAGTGATTGACAGCTCCAAAATCAAGTCTGAAGAGCGCCTGACCTGCGACCTTAAACTCTCGCCTTCCCAGCCCCGCCCTCTTCCTCCCAGGCCATTTTCATGCTAATTCCTTGTTTACTGAATACGCCCTGCCGTTTCTGGCAATGAACCCACGGCAAGGGCCCCGTCAGTGGGCCGATTATCACCTGCCAACAAAACGGGAAAGGGAAAAACGCATCAGGGGACAATATTGGAGGAACATTGGGCAAACTCTCTCTGGAGACCCTGGCGTTTGCAGTGAACAAAGGCCTGCCTTTTAAAAGCAGATCTTTTCTAAATTACCATGCTCTTTCTTTATGTAAATCAGCCATTAAGCATATCACGTCTAATTCTGAGCTCTAATGGAGGCTAGATTTTAATTAGACACTAACATGATAGAAACATTAAGCTTATACAGACTTCAAGATGGTGGACTATGGCCAGCAGTCCTCAGTGAGAGATTTTTGCACATTTATGTATTTTAGTGCCTATTTGGAATTCCTCCATAATTAATAAGGCTTAATTGGCTCTGTTGGACATGCCAGCAAACTGAGGCCAGATTGAGAATTCCTTTTAACTTGATTGTAATGGAGAGAGGAAAGCAATTCAAATAATGGATTTTTAATAGATTCCACTGACATACTCAAGTGTGAAGGACTAATTTGCCCAAAACTTGTGTCAAGCTCTCAAAAGTAAGAGTGGAAGGTGGTGGAGTGGGAGTTATCGGATGTCCTTCTAGCTTTGGCTCACCATCTTTTTATGTCAACTCTTGTTGTTGCTGTGTCACGTGCTTCTCCTTCCTCTCTCACCCGTCTCGCTCCATCTCTTTCTTTTTCAGCCTCTGGTTCAGTAGTTCTACCACCCTCTGCTTTCTCTCTCTGTCGTTCCCGCTGTTCTTCTCTGTCTTCTCTCTAATCCATCAGCTCCTAAGCGCCTCCCTGTCTCTTTCTCTCAGTGTCTCTATTTGCACCTTCCCTGGCTGCTGCTCGTCTCAGATTTCTTTTCCTTCCTCCTGTCCATCTGTCTGCCTTTTCTCTGTCTTTCTCATTCCATCGCTGCGAGGTCTGAGAGGTCATTCCCCGTGGTGAGAGGTGTGATAGGTGATAAGCAATTCTGCCTCTGCTGCTGTTCACTTTCAGCTCCGGCTGGGCTAAGTGTGTATGTGTGCCTACAGTATATTTGTGTCTGTCTGTACACCGTGTACAAGAGTGAGAGAGATGCTGTTATCTAGCACAGATAGGGCCAGGCTGTTCTGTCACGAAACATTAAGGCACTTCATCCATCTAACCTGAGTCGAGGCTGGCTATCAGCTATGGTAACACTCGTGCACACATGCATGCAATCAAAGGCATGCAGACGGCAACATGTGCTGACAAGTCATTTGCACATACACACACACTAGCTTAAAAAAGACCATCGCAGGAAAGTGTAAAAGGTAGAAAGAAACACAGAGACACAGAGGAGAGCCAAGGGCAGAGGGAGGGAGATTTGGCCAGTGTTTTGTGGCCATGCAGCAGCAGATAGAGGAGGGATAGGGTATCACTCCCTAACCCCAAACACATTTACAGCTGACACCATGATTAATGAGTCTAGTGCTGTGCTACAGGGCCTGTTCTTGGACCCATTAGACCCCCTCCCAACTGTCCAGCTACCTCTAACTCCACTTCTCCAATTCCTGGACCTCTTCCATCTGGACAAAGCCCACCTGGGGATACCCAGGATGGTAAGTATGGGCAACACACATACAAGCACAAATACAAGCATGTACATGTGCAGATACGGGTATCCGAACATAAGTGCTCATATATCTGTAGATACTGTAAATACAAAAGCATTACAGCACACAATTCCACACCAACACACACCTTTGGCTAATAAAGTTTGTCCCTAGACTCACCTTTCTCCAAAGTCACCCAAAACCACAGATATAGTTTGTAATGATTTATTGTTACATTTTTTTAAGAGAGAAAGAGGACAGCAGAAATGGATGTGCTGTCTATGTTATTATAACAGTCATTGTGTTTGCAAATGGGTTAGTGTGTTTGTGTGTGTGTGTTCTTGTACTTGCAACATAGTGAAGACCAAAAAATATATATATATTTTTTTTTTGCTACAGAGCGAGGACATTTTGGCAGGTCACCCTAACATCCTCACTTTCTGAAACACCTTTTAGAGGGTTAAGACTTGGTTTTAGGGTTCAGGTTAGAGTTAGGTTTAGGTTAAATGTTAGGGTACGGAGCTAGGGAATGCATTTTGTCAGCAAGTGTCCCCCCAAATATAGAAGACATGACTGTGTCTATGTGTTTGAGCAGGGCATTATTTCGTGTCCCCAAAACAGCATTCTTTTTAAATAGTGAAAGAATTATGCATTCAACTATGTTCTTTCCATCATTTGGAAATAGAAACATTCTTAAACACCAACAAACTCAAAGGCTTCACATACATTTGGTGACAACGCCCTCTAGGTGAATGATGTTTGGGTGGTCAAACTGGCCCATGATGCTGGCCTCGGACAGGAAGTCCCTCCTCTGCTTGTCAGTGTAGCCGGCCTTCAGTGTCTTGATGGCCACGCAGATCTCCCTCTTCCCTGGCATCTTCAGGCGGCCGCTGCAGACCTCGCCAAACTCCCCTAAAGACACACGGTCGAATTGAAAATGTGGAATGATAATACTCAAGCACTCTGACACTACAGTGCATGGACTATAAATCACAGCAAGAAGGGGGTAGGTGAAGGTTGTGCCTGTGTGTGTGTATGAGTGTCTGTGAGTGTGTGTGCAGGTTAGGAGGGGTCCACTTTAAACATTGATCAGGGCCTCTAATCCCTCACACCCCTCCTCTCCTCACCCACTGGAGCAGAGAGAGGGAAAATGGATATTGATTCTTTCTCTTTATTATTTTGTCATTGGGTGACTTTACTCTGGCCACAGGAATAGCATGTACAACATATTTAGCCTCCACTGATATTTTTTTTGTTTTTACTCGTTGACCTCTCTAGAGGCAGACCAAATGTTACTGTCAGGGAAAACAGTTTTTTATTCTCAAGTAGTGTAAGATAGAAAAAAAAACTCACCAATGCCTATAACTTTCTCAATCTTGATACAGGAGGCATCAATCTCTTTGGCAAACTCCCGGACAGCTTGGTTTGGGTCCTCGTAGGTAAAGGGGTCAACATATATCCTCACTCCTGAGAAAAACGTTTGCAACAGAGGAAGTAAGGAAGCAATAAATAAATAAATAAAATAAAGAGGCGAGTGAAAAATGAATGTTAATTCATTCTGGCAACTACACTCCATCTGTTCTTTATTTCCATCATGCTTCAGGCTACACCACCTTCCTCTGTGGAGTCTCTCCTCCTCCTCCTCCTTTCGCCTCTCCATTCCTCACTTCATACTCTGACTCCATTACTTTTCATGTCACTACGTCTGACTCCAGTGAAGATGGAGCTCATTAACTTGAAATTTTTGTGGGATGCAAATAACAGTGCTGATGACTTGATAATGAGATGTTTGGAGCATGTCAGGATGCAAGTACATTAACTTCTATATAGTTAGTTTTTCTCCCATTTTATAGGCTTCATTTGTGGTTTGTGTGCAACCCGTGAACACACCTGACAGCGCTAATGTTTTTCAATTACAACGTGTGTAGGTGGAGTGTTAACTACGAGTTACCTTGATGAAAGTGCTTCTCTTCATCAGAGTCCTGCTTGGCCTTGCTGTACTTACTCCTTCTGGGGGCAAAAACAGCAGGACAGTCAGTCGCAGTAGATTTACAACTTTCAAACATCAAGGAGTATGTGACTAAAAATCAAAACATGTGTCCCATGTAAAAAGAAAAAATTATAATAATAATAGAACACAAGTGTCAATTCAGTAAACCAAATTAAAACCTCAACCAAGACTCCTACTTATACCCCAATTAAATTATGTGAAGAGGCGACACAATCGCTGATTACTGATGAGACACTGATATTCTTGATATAATTATTTATTTAAAAGTCCTCATTACAAAGCCAGTCATTTTTTTAAGGCTAACTTTAATCAAATTTTCATGTTTTTTGTGATTTTCTTTTCTTGATATTTGCACTTAGTTATAAAAGCTTTAAAGAATAGTTCAGCATTTTGGAAAACACACATTCTTAGCAAAAGTTTAATGAGAAGATAGACACTGATCATGTCTCTACAGTAAATCTAATGGTACAACAACTGGCTTCAGTATTAAAATGTTGCTTATATGTTAATGTGTCAGTAGAAAAAATCCAAAGACTATTTGAAAAGGGCCAGTCTGCATAATGAGTATTTTAACATTTAATACACACACTTTACTACTAACATCCATGTAAGATTGTGTTTATTAAAGGATTGTGTCTGTAAACGATTGGCTTTAAATTGTGCTATTACTACTTTAAGGGAAGTAAAATATATACCAGCACTGAAGGTTTCTGAGGGCCACAACGCATACAAGCAACAACAAGGAGTAGAGAACCCAGCTATAAATTAATCCTGGAGAAGATGCAGTTGAAGCCCTCTCAATCCCTCAGGCAGCCCAAGGCCTGTGCTTATATTGATGTGTTGGGTCTGTGGTGGAAATGGCCAGATGTGCGGGACATTGTCCTCCTCTGTAGTTGTGTAGTGATGGTAAACAACTACATGATTACAGTCCCTCCCCACAATCACAGGATGGCCGCAGCAGCAGCACAATGACAGCGGCCATCACATGCATATAAAAAAGGCAGAGGCAACCACCTGCTTGGCTGGGGAGAGAGGCAATCACATGGAAAAGGAGACAACACACACACACACACACACACACACACACACACATAAATCAACAGCCCCCTTCACTCCCTATCATTCTCAACACCAACACGCACACATGCAAACAATGATTTGGTTTCCACATAAAGAGGCACACTCATACACATAAAGGGATCAACAAATGCTCATTAAAGGCACATGCATACAACTGCAGGAATCAACACACAAGCCATTAACACTCCCCTTCCCCCCACTGTCACCATACACATGAAAACAAGGATGTGCACCAACATACACACACACACAGGGGGAGTGTGTTTAACACCCTGAGGTGAAGCAGCCCCATCTGCATGTAATCCCATCTGTGTGACGATGCTTTCGGCCTGCTCGCTGTTTAACACCCTGAGATTGGGTCACTGCAAATCCACCTGATGCCTCGTCGTCTCACTCTCTCTCTCTCTGTGCTCTATCTTCTGCTTCTCATCGCTTGCTTGTCTCATTGTCCACCCTTCTATCCCTCTTCCTCTTTCTGTTTTTTCCCCCTTTTATTGTCTTCACGGCTGTCAGCAAGGCGTAGCGGGAGAAAATAAGCAGCGTCCAGAATTACAGCCATGTAGAGATGCGGGGAGCAGGGAGGGGGCATGGATGCAGGAGACAGGGAGTGAGGGGTCGCTGATTGCATCTCTTCAGCTGTCAGGGCTGTCAATCACAACTCCAGTGTGGCAAGTCATCACTCTTTCAATGTGAGCAAGTCGCACTAGCTGTCTGGGTCGATGTGTGTGTGTGTTTGTGCGTTTTGCAATGAGGTCCTTCTTCTGACAGCAGTTTTTCTTGCTGTTAAGCAAGACATCTCTCATCTGGGAGGAAAAAGGGAGAGACAGAAAGCAGAAGAGACAGAGGGATGAAGCTCACCTTCGGCTGATGATGAAAGCGCTGATGAGGATGATGAGGAGCACCACACTGCCCACCACAGACACCAGTAACACTGTGGAGTTGGCTCCATCACCGATTATGGGGGCTGGGACTGAGAAAGAGCGAAGAAAAAGGAGAAAGGTGGAGAGTAGAGGATTCAGGATGGGAGGAACATTGAACAGAGACAAAGAGCAAAATCAGTATCATTGCTCTCCATCAAGCCACTACACAAGAGCCACTGTACCTTATGTGTTTATCAGTCATTGACCCCCCCACCCACACACACACACACACACCAAATTACACCGTGTGTCACTCTTCTTTTATCACTCTCCCTCTCCAGTACAATACACATGCAGTGTTTGTCCTTGTTCCCTATCCTTCCATTCCCTACTATTTTGCATGCTTCACTGAGAGACAATGACAGACCATTAGGGTGTGTGCTTGACCGTGTCATCATCATGCACTGCTGCCTCTATTTGCATTACAAAGGGGACACCTGGGCTTACATCTTGAAACCCTCTACGTCATAATCTGCCAGTAACTATCCACATTATGTGGAATAATATTGACTAGAGGAAATCGGAGATGTTAAGAGAAGGTAAACAGTTGGGTTTTCTTGAAAACATATTATTGAACTGATGATTTCTTTCTAGGCTCATTATTTGAATTCATTCCAACTCCTTAACTTCCAGACTTACCCTTTTGTTTGACCTTAAGTAGCTTTAAGGTTGTTAAAATCATCTTATTCCACTCTGCCTGACAATAATCAATATATTTTGTATTAGCTTGTCCCAGGCATCTACATTGTTTATGTGGCTGCTCCACTGCATCAAATGGAAATCTTTGTAAATTTAGGGAACGCCACTAGACTTTAAAAGAAAATTTGGTGCATTTTAACAATTTCTGGCTGCATTGTACGAGTCTGTACTGCAGTTTAAAAGGCTAATTTTAAATTTTGATGTGGGCATTGGTATTTTAGGGATTTATAGCCTTATTTTAAAAATTGCTATCAGCAGCTTCTAGCTAAAAATGTCATATATGGTATTATTGTAAAAACTCTAAATAGGCTGAACCTCAGCTCACACATAGCACTGCGACTCACTGTAAATTAAATACGGCAAGATACACAAGTTGCCAGTTGTATTTTGATTAATGACTATATAATGAAAGAGACAAACTTATAGAAGATGCTATCATCGCAGGACTTTGAAGGACCGGGAGTGACAGGAGTGAGCTGGAATGAAGCCTCTCTGGCACTGCAATGCACTGATAAGGTAAGCTGAAGCAGTGTTGCTGGGCTCACCTGAGTTGGTCATGAACTCAAACGGGCCACTGAACTCCCCATAGCCTGCTGCCGTGCGAGCGCGTACGTGAAACACATAGGAGGTGAGAGGTGTGAGGCCCTTGATGTCAGCATTCCTTGATGTGGTTTTTATGATTCGGTAGCTGTTTGCATTTTGATCCTAAGAAAGACACATAAAACAGAGGTGAAACAGGGTAAAAAAGAGCAAACATTTGGTTTTGTTTTCTTGTTGTCTGCTGTCACAGAGACTACAACTCCCATGGGACTCCTCACCTTCTCATAGTACTTGACTTCATACTCCAAGATGACCCCATTGGCCCTATCTGGTGGCTGCCAGGCCAGTGAGATGGTGTGTCTTGTTATATCCTTCGCCTGGATAGAAGTCACTGGAGAAGGAGCTAGAGGGATGATCAAAGAAAGAGAAAAAGATTTTAACCTACAACTTTCTCCCCATCCTCCGTGCTGTTTTCAGCCTTGGAGACACTGAGTATCTTTTGTGCTGCTCTCCTAAATCCCCTCCTCTTTGCTCCTGCTGAGAAACTCAGACAGCGGGCCAGGCCACAGGGCAATCACTTCCATTTGTCTTTGAACTTGGCTTCTATTCAAAGGCTGAGGCGTTACAGAGCTGTATGGACACACAACTGAATTGCCAAAGCTCCTGTATATGGCAATAATCAATTTCTGGACTAATGGTTGGCGTACATAAAACTTATCCAATTTCCTCTTGGCTGATGCTAGCGCTCTACCACTTTTTATACAAGCTGGCAAAAAAAATGTCTAACCTCATTATCTGTAGATTCCCAGGTCACCCTGGAAAACATTACAAACTCCACCTTAGAAATCTTAAAATGAGCTCAATGCCTTTGTTTTGTTTATTTCTTTTTGTCTTCAAGAGTGCAAATCAATTGGTTTTCATTAAAGCTGCAGCAAGCGATCTTATCTCAAGCCCTTACTGCTGCAGCTGATAATGAGGCCATATTTCAAGTGGCTGTGCTATCTGCGTTCAGACGCCTTTAACATGTGAAGGTTAAAGTACAGATAATGGCTTACACTCGTCCCCTCCCTCCAATGTGTCACCACTGCACAAATCAAACCTCTATCTTCAGGGTGTGTGACAAAACTAAAATTGGCTCATGCACACGCTCAATGCTACAAAGAGAAATCCACAGGCATAGGAAAGATAGTGTTGTAAACAAAGAAACACTCATGTACAGACTGAGTTTTGAGCACACAAGAAGATAGGTGGAGTTACAGACCAAGGAAGGAAAGATTACACAGATAAACTCAGAAGACCTAGGAAACATGCACATACACACATCTCCAACACTGGGGGTGTTACCCAAGTACCCTTAACAACCAATCGCACTCATCTATTTTTCACAGAGCCAGTACAAAGCACCACACAAAAACATTTCCACTGATGCCCAAGTGGTGTTTCACTGTTGTGTCTGCTAGGGGTGAATCTTTAACCTCTGATGCTCTGGGATACTGTAACCCTACTTATTCCAGACCATCTGTCTCTTAAAAAATTACACTGGGATGATTAATGAGAGGACCATGACCTGCCGATTATGATTGGATTATCTCTGACATTATATACATTCTCATCACTTTGACTGCAGACTCCAGGGAGCCTAGCCTTAAAGCTAATGCTAACAAAAACTAGCTTTTAGCTGGGGATTGAGTTCAAACGAGCCTGGAATTTAAGAAGCGACGGATTGAGTTTCAGCGGAACAAAGAAGAGGAGGAGGGCAGAGGGGCTGTAACTAGTGGAGAGTTGACATGGAGATCGAGAGGGATGGGATTGCAGATATATCGTGGTAAACAGATTAACCCAAGGTTGTGTCATCTTCTTGGCCTAATGTGTTGTGTCTCCGTTAAACAATTAGATGAGAGCCATTCGTATCCCTCCGATCAATCTTCCCCAGCACTAAGAGGCAATTTGATGGCCCTCCTGAGGCTGACCAAGGACGCTCCAGCTTAGAAAAGGAAAACCTCAGAGGGGTCTCAGACATTCATTCCCCTGAGGTAATCCACACATCCATCTTTTCTCCAAAGATGACAGATATGGCATTTTAATCATGTTCGCCTCCTCTTGTTGCATTTTTATTTTTCCCTCGACTAATGTGAGGATAAAGATGAGTGATTTTTTGAGTGACCCCTGCTGAGGTTCACTACATGAGATGGCAGGCCAGACACAAAATAAGTGATACATCAAAGCCAAGTTTTGACTTGTTGAAGATGAATCAGAATGCCTAAAAGCAACCTGATACACAAAGAAATTTAGCATATTGTGTACAGAGTGTACATAGCTGATGCAAGACTAAAGCTGACATGCCTATCCCGACCAGAGGAAAGTTTAACCTGAGGCAGCGATTTGAGCAGACCATGCTGCAACCTCTGCAGATGAATTTAAAAATGTAGGGCAGATATGTAATTTTTTACTGCCTCCTAAAAGCGTGGGCTAAAAACACTGGTGGAATAAGTGTTAGACGCAATGAATATTCAGATCTCCTTACAGAATTGTGCGCTCCAAAAAAAATTCTTTCACAGCCCACGACACTTGTACACGCACACACATATCTAACAACATAATGGATCTCATTACAGGAATACAAAGATAGAAATTCACATAAAAAATATTCACCTAGTCCCATTATCTCACATAGACAGCAAAAAAACTCAATCACATCACCTATGCATACAGCATAATGAGTAAAAATCTGGCAGAGGCTCATCAAGTTCAAGGTCTGGTTTGAAAAAAAGAGTCACCCTTTCAGAAGAGTAGTGGAGGTTGTATGGCAGTTTTTGTTTTTTTTACAGATGCTTGTGAGGTTTTGCTTCTGCATGAAACACAGTTTGTTGAGTGAGAGAGTTTGTCTTTGCAAGCATGTTCATCACAAAGTATTTGTGCTGCGAGGAACAGCTGTGGTTCAGGCAAACAGTTGCAAGAATATGCGGTTGATTACAGTTTGACATTAAAAAAGACAGGCCAGGCTGCACAATGTGGTTGCCAGATTGGAGCCTGGTTGCCAGATTGGAGATGCTCGATTTTGCTGTCGCCAAGGAAAAATAGCCATGAAGGAGCCATTTTTCAAGGTTTTGAAAAAATGGCTCCTGTGTACAAGAGCCCCACCCCCCACCTATGAGGTCTGCTTCCATTTCCCCGAACATATTACCACATGCATGCCTGTCCTCTTTGCCAGAGACATGAAAACTCACGTACATGTGCTTTGACAGACATGCCCACACACATACTCACATGCACTAATTCACTTTTAGTCATTTCAGCCTGCCAAGTATTTTGTAACGAGACATAAACACCTCAAAGTGCTTGATCCCATAAAGAAGAAAAACATCCATTTAGAGCCAAGGGTCAGTTCAAAGCTTGGACATGTCCCCTCTCTCCCTTTCTCCAGTCCGGGTGAAATGGTTATACCCCAGCTGATTTACGACAGTGGAATTGGTCATGGCGAGCTGTGGAATATGACCTCCTTGTACACACATACACATACCTGGTCACAGATGTATGCAGATGCAATCAACAACTCTCATGTCTTAATTTTTGTCTGATGACGCATTTCTCCACTGCACTTTCATCCATTTTCCTCTCATACAAAAATACATACACTGTAAGCTCTCTTTTCCACCCTGGTTATTTCCCATCTTTCTCTATAGCCAAAATTTTTACTTTTATGGAAAGGGCATGGTGGCGTGGGCGTCCTGTCCACAGTACTTTTAAACCCAAATAAATCTATCATAACAAATGTGTAATCCACAGTATCTGGATGAGGGGACATGATATAGAGAGGAGGGTAGCCACAGATGACTGGCTGGATTACCAACGGCTGAAACCAGAGCTTCCAAAGCCCCTGCCAAGAATTAGTAGGAAGAAATCCAATCAGTCTAGATCCATTGTCTTTAACACGCACACACACATGTACACAAATTAGACAAGACACTTACATGTTGAGAGAGGACATTGTTTGAGAAGCAAATGTAGATCATCTCATCATCAGCAGATAAACCTTCTGCGTAATGCATTTTCTCACCTTTAGCCAAATATATAGTCACGTGCACATGTGTATACACACACACACACACTCATATAGCTAATCCTGGGGAACAGTTTCGAAACATACAACAGTGACAAGTCAAATGCAGCATCATCTATACTTTATAACCTGAAGTCAGCAGATTAGCCTCAAGCAACCTCAAGGCAACATCAGTATGTGTGTGCCTTAAAATGAATCCATGTGTGAGAGTGTGCACTTTGGAATTTATGCACAACTGTGCATCAGTGTAACCATACCAACATGCTAATAAGAGCCACAGCCTGAATTCAAGGGTTTGCTCCATTACAGCTCCCACACATGGCTGTCTGGTAGGAGTCACAGCACATCCATTCATCTCTATCTTCCTGACCCCCGCTCATAAATTAAGCCACTGTGTCCTTAAATTGCCAATCCAAGCCCTATTCAAGACAGTCGCTTTTCCCAAGGATGGAAATTAGTGATTAAAAAAAACAACACAAAAAGGCAGTTAGCTTGCCACCCAAGAGCAGAGCAGTAAAGAAGACCAAGTTAATGATCAGCCATAAGTGGAGGGGAAAGGGGAGGGATAAAGAGAAAGGGACATGGTCATAAAATGCATTTGCACAACAACCAGTTACAAAATGGCTAAATGACAAAACAACAGGAGGTTTGAACGCACCCCCAGGCTAGAGGGCTCTTTTCCAGCTCTAGAAGAAAGGCTGCACACACACGCACAATTCAGCATTTGTAATGAAGCCTCCACAGATCAATAAACTGATCTAATTCATTAGATTGTGCGCTAAATATAGCACGTTGCCCCTATCTTCAGCTTAGGCTTCTCATGTATAATTATGCAAAACGCAAGTGAAATATTGCAGAAAATCATTTTCCACTGCAGATAATCCATCCTCCTCCTCAGTAATCACCCAGCTTTTGCCCAAATTATTCAGTTTTAATAAACGTATTTTCACATAGACATGTCTCCTCAAAACATACTTAAAGCGCTCAGTGTGACAAACCTGCTCTCTGCATCAGATATCAGCCTACACACAATTATAAAGCTTCTCCAACATACATTTTCTCTTTCAGAGAGGTAAAGAAACCAACTTGCATTAGCAAGCAAACCACTGGAGAAGCACTGGAGATGGCCAAAATTTCAGGAGACTGCAGAGTGCATGAATGCATCCAAACCAGGGTCGTTAACCAAAGAAACCCACTGCTAAACAAAAACAATCACAAGGTCCGCTGTGTGGTTGTTCTGGAGAATCTGATCATACTACCCAAACTTCCTCAACAGATGGAGTTGTATATCAAACTGTAGGCAAACTCAGCTGTTAAGCCACCATGTGAAGGAAGTCTTTAAAGTGCTCAGGGAACACGAAAATATGAAAAATGAAAATAAACTGTAAATATATAAAACATAATTATCATGCCTAACTACAATTTAATATACTTTGTGAAGTAATGTAGAACCGACTGTTGATGTTTTGTAATAAGTGTTTTTTATGGACACCTGCTTGGCAATCTGAAATGCTTATTTTCTGTGGGGCATGTGTTTAGTTACTCCCTTTTTCTTATACCTTTCTCTGTAACTGTTGCAGAGCAATGATTTTTGATCTTGATTAGAAACTTATCATTTGCAGTGTCTCATTGGGACAAAATGTTTAGGGTTAAGAAATATACACTATATCAGAGCAATCACTGTTGCCCACTTCCCATCAGATCAACAAATTGTTGACTTAACTGATGCCAAAGTGTTTATCAGTGGGAAGCCTTTATGCTTCATTGGTGATACACTTTGACAGAATTTTGAATTCTTGCAAGAAGTACTGGCTAACAAAGCTGTTCCTCAGATGTCCACTGTCTGGCAGGTTGTCACATTATCTGTTTTGGAGATGGTTTAAAGATTGACTTCCTTTAATTCTTTAAATTGTCGAAGCTAAATGCCATGATTGCAACATTTTTTTCTAGCAGCTCTGTCAAACCCATGTTTGACTGACTTACCCGCCTGATTGGTGGTGACGGTCACTGACACAGCCTGTTCTGGCCCTGGGCTCTGAGGCGAGACGCCATTCACTGCCCACACCTCAAAGGTGTAGTTGGTGTGGGCCTGCAGTTCATTGATGGACACCCTGGTTCCCTTCAGGCTCAGCTGCTGGGGACTGAAGTGGATGCCGTTGCCACAGGGTTGACAGCGCCGGCCGTCAGGCCCACAGCGCTTACACACCACATTGTATGTCAAGTCCTGGCGTCCTCCTGAGCTTCGAGGTGGGCTCCACTCCAGGTTTACAGATGTCTCATTCACATTGGAGATCAGGTGAACAGGCGCAGAGGGTGGACCTATGGAGCAGGAAGAAAGAGAGGAGTTGATGGCATTGCCAGTAGTGGTTAGAAAACAAATACAAAGCAGGTGTAGAATTACACTAAAATGGAGTATACACTGTTTCTGTAATCAACTGAAACAGATTTTTAAAAAAGAAAACAACAAACTGTTGATCATAATATTAACAAAGCCTGTGGGTAATCCATTCTTTCCATACATATACCATGAAGATGTAAACATGTAATTGACTGGGTTGTCCCTTTATTGGGAGCTGAGGCTTCTTAAATTCCCTTTTAATGTTCTGCTCATTACAGCAAGGGAGGATTCAGTTTCACCCCAGTTAATTCAGCATGTTAACTGAAATCCAATAGGCCAGCAGATTTCTTTCCCATTCATATATGGAATCAGCTGGAGGAGGCAGAGTGCTCAAGTCTGCTGCTAACAGCAGGGCTCTATGGCACCCACTCAATAACTTTAGACAAAGTTTGCTTTGGACCCTGTTATTATGTGCCTGCTTTGATGTAAAACCTACGTGCCATATTGCTAAATGAGAGCAGCTCCACAGAAATGTGACACAAACGCCCCTGCTCATCAATACCAATTTACATGTCAGCCCTACTGTAATTAATGTATTTTTTGTGTAGCTTTCAAACATAAGCGACAGTAACTGACTTAACTCTTTCTCTCTCTTTTTCCTCATGTCTCACTTGCGCACTCTATGACTAATGAAGCACACGCGAGCAGGCTGGGGGGATCGATGCAGGGTGAAATATAGTCAGCCCACAGACTAATCATTTCATAACGGAAATTAATTATCAGTGTTATTTTTGGCGGAGCAGAGTGGCAATGACTGATTTCATGGAGACAGAGAGCAGCAGAGGGGACAGTGTGTAGGAGTGTGTGCACATGGTCGCCTGAGGATGAATAAGTACTGTAAGCTGCTGTGCACGAGTGTTACCGTATTAACATGAAACTACAGTTTTACCCATGATGCACGCTGCTTCACAAGACTCATACTGTACGTGTAAGGGCTGGAATCACACAGTATGTCTGCATTAGTCTAGAAGACAGTGGTAAAAACAAACACAGTCTGTTCACCAAGGAAGCAGAAAGCACAGGGTTCCCATTTGTCCTGGAAAGTTTCTGACCAGTCTTCCAGTCATGGAAGATCATAGAGCAAAATGTTATGAGGGGGCAGCTGAAATTAGGGCAATGTGTGAGATAAAATAGCAAGAGTAGAACTTTATGGCCCGATTTTAGTGGGCTAATCTTTTTGTATGCTCTGAATACCTTAACACATTGGCTTAAGGTATTCACGTCATGTCACGTCAGGCTGGTAAAGAATAAAATAAACTGGTCATATAAAATCACAGAGGAATGTAGCCAGACATCCAAGAACTGTAAGTAGCTTGATACTTGAACAGCAAACATTTACTAACTATTGGCTAGTAATTAGCTTTACTTTTAAATGTGTTTAACATTTAAAGCTCCACCGCGTGCAGGATTATGAATTGCTTTAATGATAGTCAGCTAGCTGGCTAGCTTGTTAACAGCAGAACAAAGCCAAAGGTCGGAAGGAAATGGCAGATTTGAGGGTCAAGTGTATTCGAATATGGAGATACAAGCCAAATGTTAACACATGAACGTGCAATGCTTTATCTTCTGTAGGCACTTACTGGGGATATTGTTATCTGCGATGTCCATCACCACTAAACCTAGATAAATTCAATTAGAAATTATAGGAAAAATATGCTTTAGAACTTGCTTGCACAAGGATCATCACAATATAGTGATAATATAGTATAGTAAGTTTTCTTCATTATCAAAGTAATCCAGTGACAGTTGTCTTAATGTCTTTATATCCATGAGTACACTACAAACAGGAGTGACACACAGCTCATTTGGTGAACTTTTTTCCTTTTGCTCTCTTGAAGGCTTTTATTTTTGTCTGCCATCATGTTGGTTCTCAAACAGGTCTATATGTTGGTGTTAGCTTGTATCTGGCAGATTAGAAAAACGTTTTAATTGTGTACATTACAAATAACATTAGGTAAAATGGGAGGAGCGGCATCTGGCATAAAACCTGTGCCAAATCACCTATGTGGCTTGATTTGGTTGTAATTGTTGCTGGCTAGGATTACATGCTTGCTAACAGAATTCACAATGCAGTGTATGTGTTGGTAGTCTGTAGGTGTATACGGTGCTTCTCTCCATCTAATATTAAAAACAAAGTTCTTTCTAGGTTTTTCAAAAGAAGACGGGATTCAGGACAGTGCCAAGAGACGTCCCTAAAAGAGAGGACATTTTTTTATTACTGTTACATAGGTTTTTTTTTTAGCATGTTGATTGTGAGCAGTTTAATTAAATGGACAGTTTATTCAATTAAAAGGTAATGTTAATGGCTATATTACTACTAATGGTGTGAGCTTTGCGGTGTTTGGCTCTTCTTGACTGACTATATGTTTAACAATGCTTACTTTTTGTTAGAGTCAAGTCAGATTGCTATTTTTGTGAGCTCTGCAGAGTCATTTTTATTTTTTCACCCTAACTTGTGATGTGAGGGAGACTGTGGAAAGAGAAAAAGAGAGAGAGAGAGACAAGAAAATTCCAGAAAATAGCTCACATATTCATTGCAGCATACTAATAAACATACAGGAGGGACTGTGTGCATGTGTGTGTGTGAGACTGGGAGAATGCAACAGCCATCAATAATCATTTGGTCATAAATCACCTATAAAATATCATCATAGATTAACACTTGTTAGTCTAGGATGTGATCCCCATTTGACATCACAGCTTTACATCATTGAAAATATCCTTGAAATGTTTTTATTGAAAAACTCTGAAGCCACTGATCAGTATGCAATGAGCAGGTCTGGATGGAGGGAGGGAACAGAAATGGATGGTGGTCTGTGAGGTGGAGTGCCTCTGGCTGAAAATGACCCAAAGGGTCACTAACAGCACAGAATACAAGCAGTGAGATGAAAGGTTGCAGAGTAGTGTTAATATTAGCATCACCCAGCCTCCAACTGAGGCCTTTGACAAAAACTTATTAATAATTTCTCATTAAAAATTATGATCAAGCGCTCACTCACCCCCCTTTTCCCTGTTTTTTTTCTTATCTACACCCTCTTTTTTTTCTCCTTCTCTCTTTCACCTCATTCCGTCCATCCATTTCCCCGATAATAGGAGCAAATTACAGATGGGGTTTCTAAATTAAGGTGCCTACACCCAAAAGTCATTATAATAGTGGTTTTGTCAGTGTGTTATGTGCAACTATCCTCCTAACTGAACATTTTTTTACTTACAAATATGAGTAAAGGAGGACTTGCTTGATGTTAATTAGAAGAGAAGATCAATAATTTGTGTGTCTATACTCTAACTAACTGGAGACAGAAGGTGATTAGTTTACCTTGGTATATGTGTGTCTATACTCTAACTGGATACAGAAGGTGATTAGTTTACCTTGGTATACAGAATTATTCTAACTGATCCACACTTTGTTTTTGTACAATATAAACAAATTTATAACACATGAATTAGTGAGTTAATTAGTGGTGGGCAAATGTTCTTCTTCAGACAAAGCAGGCTACCTGTTTGTCCTGTTTTCAGTCTTTATGCTAAGCTGAGCTAAACATGTCCTGGCCCCAGATTCATGTGAACCATAACTCTTGGCAAGAAAAGAAAAAGTGGATTTCTAAAACTGTAGAACTAGTCCTGTAATTGGTTATATCCTCAAAAATCCCAAGATATGTGTTTGTCACAGATGTGTGTATAATCACCACACAAAGACAGTTTTCTTTGTTTGTTGCAACTGTATGGTGAGAGAAACAACACTGCTATAAAACTTTATGACTGTATAAAGTCTTAAACACATTGCACCACATGGTGCATTACACACATGCACATCTACCTCTGCTATACCTGTCGCTCTCTCAGAATGCACTGGTGGGAGCAAGGGAGCGTGGGAGCCACTGGCTGTGACTGACACCTGGTAATTAATCCTGGGAGAGAGAACGACGGGGGGAGACAGGAGCACAACGCTCTGACAACCTTTATACAATGTTAGCGCAACATGGCCTCCTTACCAAAGGAATCCAGGGGGAGACTTAGAAAGTTTCTCATGAAGAAAGTTGCTGATTGTTTTCTCCTTCTGCTTTCATTCATTTATGTCCTTGCAATTTGCTCAGAGCCACATTTCTTTCTTTCCTGTGTTTCCATCCCCCTTCCTTTAGTCTGTCTTTCTTATTTTTACTCCATTCCCATTCCTCATCTTACCTCTCTGCATGCTCCCACCCTCTCCTCCTCTTCCCTTTCCTCCTCCTTTCATCCCTGTCTCTTTCTGTTTCATTCAATCAGTAGCTGTAAGCAAAATGTTGCACAGAGCCAAGGTAGAGAGCTGGTTAAACCAGCTGGAGCATCGGCCCCGTTATTATCATCCGGCTGGGATTCATTCAGTGTCCCCCTTGAGTCCTCCTGCTCTGCGATCATTCCTTGCTGTGCCCCTCCCTCTTCCTCTACAAAACCACTGCTAAAAAAACTGGGGAAAATCTGAGAAACACATCAAGGGCCACAGAAACCCCAAAATAGAGAACAACCCTTCCTTACAACCTGAACGCAGTGGAGCAATCAGTTTCCACGGCTGTCTGTCCTTATGGTGTGTATTTGTACTCACCCACATTTCTTCCTACAGTATGTATGGCTGATTTGTCCTGAGCATATTTTTAATATTGTTGTATGCTTATAAAATGATTAATCTGTATATGCAGAGTTGCCTTTTACTTGTTGAATTTTTGCCAAACTTCTTCATTATGGTATGTATTATAACTATTTTCTGTAGTTAATTAAAAAGGAAATAAATCATACTCAGTGGCATTTTTAAAAGCCCAGTATAAAATCAACAATAAAAGTGAGCTGAAAATACAGTGGCAATGATGAGAGCAGGAAATACAAAAGCAAGGCTAGTAAATTAAAAATAAAATATATGGTCAAACATAATCTCCAAAGATATGCTTTTAGGAAGTGATTTAACTCATTTATTTTGACAGTTTCCTCCTGTTTCCGCCCTGAGTACCTTAAGTCTCTGGATGTTGTTGGGCTGTCTTGGTTGACACGCCTCTGCAACGTCACATGGCGGGC